TGTTAAAATACAATAATCAAATCATCGCGCGTAATACGTATGCATGTGCACGTGCAGCACGGACCACCCGTCCAAATCCCAGTCACCGCCGTCTCCCTACTTCACTCTGACTTTACCTCTCGATGGGAACACACGGAACCATCGAGAGTATAATCCAGTCACATTGTCTTTACTCTGGATGTTCCTGGTAAGTATTTATGTGTGTAAGTATGAAAGAGTATAATTAAAACATAATCATATCTATTTCATTTTATATTAAATAGTTTCCTTTACTATCTAAAAAATAAAGCGTTTGTTTTACTCAAGTCACCTCCATTAATGGGAATTAATTTTAGGGAAAGAGTTATCTTCCCCTTTCTTCAGCATCATCTCTACGACACTGGATCAGGCAAGTGCAAAAGAAACCTCTGTTAAATATGTTTAAAAAATCTTTTATGTTGTTGTCATCCAACATTTTTTGGGGTGTTTGGAAGGAATTTTGCACATATAATTTACTTATATTAGCGTCAATATTTGATAAAATTAAGGAAATAATTTTCATGTGATAATCTGTTGTCGGCGACCTCGTGCGGTTACCAGTCCATGACCGTTTGTTTTTCGGGGGGTGGGCCTTGTCGGTACAATAGCCCATCAAGATTTCCCAACCCCCGGTTCTCGCACCCACGGAAGGGGGTATAAATCAGTAAGGGGGATCCCATGGTTTCCAGTAGCTACTCATGCTAACAATCCCATAGGGGGCAACAATACCTAGCAGACATTTCGTGGGAAGGGTAGAGGACACAGGTCAACTGTCGTATTGATGAGGAATTATCATCGGTCAAATACTCTTCTTTTGATAAAATGCTTAATATGGTGAGCAATTTAGGTCCGGGGTTTTTGTTAACAAAGATGGATATCAAATCTGTATTCAGGCTACTTCCCATATACCCTGGAGATTTCGACTTGTTAGGATTTAAGGTGGATAACCAATTTTACATTGATAAGTTCTTGCCTATGGGGTGCTCTATTTTTTTTGAAAATTGTGCAACATTTGTACATTGGTTGGTCAAATTTCGAACAGGACTTGAGACATTGGACCACTATTTAGATGATTTTTTGTTCACTGGTAGGAGTAGGACAAATGATTGTCAGATTCTTGATTTCAAAAATTATTGAAAGTATGAAGCGTTTGAAACATCGCAATTACACCACAACTGTTGTTACAAATACTTCAGGCACTCCCTCATATTTCCCATAACTCTTTCGAACTTAAGTTGTTTAGGCTTGCATATGTGCCTGCCTTTTGTGGGTTTATGCGCATGGGCGAGTTAACTGTGGCAAAAGGACGCTCGTCTTGCTCGGTATTGCAATGCAGGGATGTCTCTATTAATGAAAATGGGGAGAGTATTTCTATGCGAATTCAGTTTCAGTAAAAAACCGAGCAGGTAGGTAAACGGACTACACTGTTAATACAGAAGGGTTCAGGTTTGTTATGTTCAGTTCAAATCCTACAGATTTTTTTTGTTAGTAAGGCCAACTCAACCGGGCCCTCTCTTATGTCACTTTGGGGGGACCCTATGACAAGGTATCAGTTTTCTACAGTGTTATGTAAGACCTTGACATTTTTTGGTAAAGCGTCTCAACGATATACATTTTGTACATCACATTCCTTTCGTATAGGGGCAGCTGCGGCTACAGCCGTTGCAGGGTATTCAGACTCGTATATTCAGACAGCCGAAAGATGGAGTTCATGGGCGTTTAAAACTTACATTCGCATGCCGGTTGTCCGTTCCATCGATCATATTAACTGTTAAAGTCTCATATTGGGAAAAATGGGTACCATATCGACTTAACTATCACATTGTAGTTGTATAATAGCCTTGGTATTTTTTCATTCGGGAAATATTCATTTGAAGTTTAAGCCTTTCAGTCTGGTTTGTTGGATCCTCGCTTGTACGGCATGGTCACTGGCGGCTTGCACTAGACCTGGGGTACCAAAATCTGACGCAGGATTGTAGACTTGGTGTCCATATCTGATGCTAGGGATATAGTGGTTTGACCCTACAGAAAATGAAGGCAAAAGTGAATGTGTTGTTTAAGGTGGGGGATACCCCATCCGTCTTGTTGATAGACTGCGGTGGAAGATTGCCATTGGTGATTTGTGGAGGTTGGCAAAAATCCATGTGTCATGGCGGTGCTCCCAACATGACACAAGTTTTCATGCTGGGATCAGTTGCCTCGCGCGGCATAGCCAATCAGTTTACCTTAAGATGCACTTTATCGCCGTTTCCGGGGTTTAGTGCACATCAATTATATTTCACAATATTTGGAATTGTTGAAAGTGAAACAATGACTTGTATATATATGTTTACAGATTGTGTGACTTTGAACAATTGATGCTTGTATGAAGTGGTGTGGCTCCACAAATGGTGTTTGAATTTATCGAGTTGTGTAGCTCCACACGTGGTGTTTGAATTTATGGAGTTGTGTGGTTCCACAAGTGGTGTTTGAATTTATGGAGTGGTGTGGCTCCACAAGTGGTATTTGAATTGATGGAGTGGTGTGGCTCCACAAGTGGTGTTTGAATTTATGGAGTGGTGTAGCTCCACAAGTGGTGTTTGAATTTATGGAGGGGTGTGGCTCCACAAGCGGGGTTTGAATTTATGGAGTGGTGTGGCTCCACAGGTGGTGTTTGAATGTATGGAGTGGTGTGACTCCACAAGTGGTGTTGGTATGGAGTGGTGTGGCTCCACAAGTAGTGTTTGACTTGTGTGTTAGGATACTAAAACATTGATGGTGTCTGCCCGTGGCGACACTCACAATAAACATAAAATATTTCAACTACAGCCGTGGCCACAAAATATGCCATAATTGAATGAATTTTAGAAATGTATGTGATGTGTATGTTATTTTTTCTGTAATGATAATCATTCGTCATATTTCATCAATTGTATATATATCCATTATTGCATAGGTTGAGCGATGTGTGAGTGATTATGTATGTTTATTCATTATATAAGTTTATGTCTGGGGGTTTTCTGTCTTGGGTCACCGTTTTTGCTCGTAAACTTCCGGGTGTCAACTTTTTGGCGCTTTGACACTCCAATATGCCACTAAACCTACCAAAAAGGTCATTTTGAGGCCTTTGCAAGGTATGTATTTATGAATCTAGACAGTTGCCACTAGTTTTGAACTTCAAATATTAAAGTTATTAGCTAAAATGTTTGGTAATAACATATAGTAAATGATTTAGTTATGTGAGTTTTTTTACCGTAAGGACTGGTTTTGTCTTTCATTACAAACCATTTTTCTAACATCATGGTCTTTACCCTCTATGCAGAAAAGGATAATATTAACCCTAGTACTGAAAGTAAGCTTTGTTTTTCGTTTACTATAAATCAAAGTACTGAAATACTGATGCAATGCCAAATATCATAGACCTAAGCCTTTCCTAAATATGAAGTCTCTTCCATATTTGGAATAGGTTGTTTAAATATTTTGACATATCTGACCTTTGTGACCTTGAAAGTTGACCAAGGTCAATCATTTTTTTCAACCGTGATAGCATATCATCTGAGCTTGTTTCAGCTCAAATATCAAGACCCTAGATTTCGTAGAACTTGAGAAGTTTCCCCAAGATGTTACCTTGAAACAGCACATTTAAATATAGCCCCCTACAAAAAGCCGAAAGTTGATCTTTGAAATAAAATATGTGTATTGGTGTCCTTCACATCATATTAGAAAATCACGTTAATTCTTAAATTCGTTTGGAATATATATATTTTTTTAGAAGTTTGAACTTTTTAAAATATTTAAACTCTATGACCTTGAAAGTTGATCAAGATAAATCAATTTTCAAATCACTAGAGCATGTTACAGATCAAATATCAATACTCTAGACATTGTAGAACTTTAGAAGATTTTTGAATGTGTTACCTTGAAATAGCACATATGATATTTGAACCCTAACTTATTCAAAAGTTGACCAGGTCAACTCATAATGTGTCCTGCGAAATATGTGCATTGGTGTCTGCCACATCATACCTGGATATAAATTGCATCTATTGGTCAATTTTATAAATATTCAAAACTATATTACACTATATTGTAAAAAAATACTGAACAACATTGCGTCTTATTTACAGGATCTCGATATTCAGTGTTCGTGTTTACAGATGTACCCGCAAAGCCCGAAATATCGACGTTTGATTGTACTTGATACAAATTTAAAGTTTAATTCATTCAATATGAATTTTAATATAGTTTGTGCATGTATAAATTTAGCAGTGTATTACATTCATATCAAATGAATAAAAAAAACGAGATTATATATGGATCTCGGCTCCCACCATAAAATTATCTATTACAATATTTGCTCCTCGTTTTCCTAGCCTGCACTATTGCCCGTTCCCATATTGGATATCCTAAATAGAAATCTTGTCCATTACCTTAAACCTTGTAATATCAAATAGTATTTGCAACTATGGAAAATAAGTTTGCATAATAATTGAATAACTATATACAAAATGCTAAAATGTTTGAAAAAAAAAAGTGCTGTCAATGACGGAAGAGAGGGCAAGGATATTTGTTGAACAAATTGATTATGTATTTAAAATAGTGATAGCAAAATTGAACCGTCCAAATGTAAGATGACTGTCTGGTTTCAATATGGGTTTTCCTATTATTCCCAAAAGTCAATATAACTAAGGACTATGGGAAACCCTCATGTGGAATTGAAGAAAATCCAGTACATTCTCAGGAAAAGCACTAACAACATTCCTCTCTCGAAATTCTAGATGGCCACTTGTCGGCCACCTATGTTTTCCTATATGTCTCAAAAATCAATATGAATAACTGGGGACCATAGAGAACCTTTATGTGAAATTTGAAGAAAAAAAAGGGGGATTTGTTTTTGAGAAATTGCGTTTACAATTTTAAGTTTCAAAATTCAAAATACCCACCTTTATTTTATGCAAGCAAACTTAATGCAAGGGGAGACGTTTATTACAAGACAATAAGAAGACGCTTATTTCCCGTTTATTGCATATTTGTTCTGGAACATGTAAAACGGTAATTTTCAGTTTAGTGTCCGATATAGCCCTGCCAGGGTTGCTGTGTTTTGGAGAAGATTTTCCTTACTGCTTGTTTGCCAATAAGTGCAATTCCTCGCCTGAAAATGAGTCTTTTTATGGGGCTTTCGTTGGATCTCCATCGGCAAAATCTTCCAAATTTCCCTCTGTATCGTCTTCGTTGAATGTGCCGAACTTCCCATCATCTTTAAACAATTCATGAGGAAAGGCTTCGTCAGAAAAACTTGCTTCACCATACCCATCCTCGTCACTATAAGATTGAGCTGGTCCAGGTGTGATATCTTGGGCAATACTGGCCAATACACACGCGGCGAATAAAGCAATAAGGAAATAGGTCTTCATATCCACGTTTGACTGTCTACAATGAAACATAAAAAACATTTCAAGACGATTTTACACGGAATAGATTATATTGTGTACATTTTACGATAGGTTTGTTGTTTTGAAGGCCCATTTTTACGTTAATACGGTAGCTGGATGTGGATTAGTATATGTTTCAAGTGACATAAAGGCCCCAACTGTAAATTGGCATAGTAAAGAAAATAAAAAAAGTGAACAAAATAATTTAAGTAAGCAAAAACAAATATCCAACGGGACTAAAACAAGTCAATTTATATCGTTGTTTCCTTTATAATAAAGACAATGTCATTCACTATGTTCACTAGCATAAACTACCTGTAGTGTTACTTATTAGCTTGATTTGGTTTAGCGTCCTGTTAAGAGCTTCATTGTAAAGCCATTTAAATACATGCGCCCGTGTTCATTATGTATGTGTACTAGGGGCGGATATGTTGATTTATTTGCCTCCTTGCGATAGCGCGGATCTGATTCCAACCTTAGAATGCCATCTCCCTGATATACAATGCCGAAGACAGCCACTACAGTATTCCACCCTGACAAAGGAGACAGAACCTATGATCTGACCTCACAGTCGCAAACACTCAACACTAAGGCCAAAAGTGAGTAATTACCTAGCATGGCACTAGGTAATAAATAGTTGTCATGAAGAAGAGAGGAAAATATTAAAAAAAAAATGTATGTTGCAATGGGGGCAGCAGGTCAACTTTTGTTCAATGTCCCCTTGGCAGAAGACAAAGAAGTTCGAGGTTTGCAAAACATTCACAGGATGAAATAGCCTACAAGCAATCTGAAACGACAGCGTATTCAACAAAAAGACACTGAAGGGGCCGCTAGGGTACTAATTACAAAGATGGGTGTGTTTTGTCCGATATATTGCCGAAAAGATGTCCGGTAGGGGCTTTTTGGTAGAAGTCAAGTAGAACAAAAACTCACAAAGTGACTTATAATTTTGCAGGAAAAAATGTAATGAAAGATTATCAGGGTAACAAATTCGTCATTTCTGGGTAAGAAGGGGTCTACTAGCTCATAGACCCCTTTAGTCTTTAAAGACCCCTCGTCTTTGTCTCTTGGTCTACGAGCCCGTAGACACCTCTTAACCCAGAGATAACTTATATTGTAAAATTAATTGCTAAATATTGAAATGTTATTTTTTTACATTTTAAAATACATTTCCGCATGCAGGCGCATCCATGATTTGGATTAACAGTCATCATACTATTCACACATGTACAAAAGTCAAGATGAAAACATGGAATCTAAAACTTGGTTTATTAGAATCCAAAGAAACAAAGTCATACAATTGATCCCAATCCTCTGTGCTTTGAAAAACACCAATGGTTGGAACATGCAGCGTGTGTCATCGTCCGATGACGACAAGTCCCCTACATCTACCTTTTTAGCAATACAAGGATCTGCAACAGACTGGGAGATATCACTTAATACATTACAGTTTGTGTTTACAATTAAAGGTTTAAGCACTCTCCTCTGATCTTTCAAAGACTTCTTTAAGAACCCTTTTCTTGTAACACATTAGCACTTTGAACTGGATTGCATGTAGCGGTACTTAGGGATCTCCACAATGTGTATTGTTTTACCCCTTGTGCATCTACACAGTTCAGCTTTGGCCCGATTCAAATTACCTTTCAGTGTTTTTTTCTTTCCTAATTTTTTTTCGCGATATATAGCTATTAGCGCGAGCCTTTACGGCCAAACAGACACAAATCTGTCTTTGGTTTACTGGTCGCGTGCACCAAAAAGCTGACGTTTCCTCTTTTCATGGCAACCATACACACTTTGTCTGCATTCCGTTTGGAATCAGCAATTCTTTATGAAAGATATTAAAAATTAAGGTTTTAGCATCGTTTGAAGATGACTGATCATTTTAAATTCCCTAATTAAACCCCATGGGTCTTCCTAGCAGTGACACCTAATAGACAACCACTTTTGTAGAGACATATTTCTATGTACGCATCTATCAACCATTACATGATTTGTTTATATATTTGTGTTATTGTTTAATATATAAATAAATATTCTTAATCAAGGATAATAGTACATGTTTGCATTCACTATATAACACTACCAGAGCCAGTTCCGTGTTATGAGACAATAACACTAGCGTAGTGATATCTCCGCAGCTCCGACTAACTACCGGATCGCTACACCCACTATGATTCAAAACATTTCACGGTTTTATGTAAGGCTTTTATAAAATGTGAAATGCATATATTGGTAAACTAATAATGGAATTTGTATTGATACTATATTTTTTTACGGGGAAAGTTTCGAAACAACATTCCGTGAGCAATACAATGAGCTGTTCTTCCTTTTGGAGAAACTCCCCGAAATTTGAATTTAAAATTGTGTTGTGAACTTTAAAATGAAGATTTAAAAAAAATGAAAAATGTTAATATAAGCATAAAACATCATCCTGTTCTGTGTCATGGTCCTATAACACGGAACAGAATGCTGCTGTTTAATTTTGAATTCTTATCGGCCCATCAACACCGAACAGGTCACTAAAGTGAATACAAGGTCGATAATCATGTTTAAGCAAATAATATCAAACGAACGAAAAGGTAAAAGAAAAACGTTAACTTGAGAAGAAGGGGGTCCATGGTTGACGAAAAGGTCAACAATGGTCCTGCCATGTGTTTGACTAAACATATTCCCCATATTGGCTACCGAGAAGCCACACCACTTATTTTGAAAAATAAGCAATACAGCGTAATGCATGTTTGCATGTCTGACAAATACCAGTTACAGTCAATTATCAACTTAACTTACCTTGTTCTGTTGCTGCTAATGCGATTCGTTGAAGATAACAACAATCAAATGCAGCGCTTGGCTTTATAAAGACGACAGAACAACGAAAATGATATGTACAAATGTCATTGGTCAACAGCAAATCAATCATATTTATTGACACGTAGGCACCGTTGTTTCCATATGTTCAGCATATAAACAGTCACGTGTCACCTTTACTAATTTAATAGACAGTTTTCATCAATTAAAATGTTTAAAAGTGTGAAACATTGTACTAATGTAACAGCTGGAAAATACAATAAATGGGTAGATCGATTTATACTAGTCCCTTTCGACATAACCATGTACTATTTTTACATTCAAGAAGAGAAGTTTATATCTTATGAAGATGAAATTGAAGAAAAAACCATTGTAACAACATCAAAGTTAAAATCTGTAAACAAACCAGTTTGGTATGGTAGCTTACCGTTTAATGGTAACTGCTGATGCAAGCTAATGATTCAATGATAAGAAGCTTGCTTTCATAGTTATTACATTACAATAAAATGCAACAGTATATTGAACAACATAAAACTGTCAGTTCTAAGAGTGAAGTTTGAGGACTTATTGTTATTACTCCGTTTCTTCTTCCGCCGTGATTTGGTTTTTAACGTCCTACTAACAGCTTAGGTCAGTTAAGGACGTGTCTCCATGTGTGAAATGTAAGCGTGCATTTGTGCTGTGATAGCGTGGTTCTGTATATCCACTTAAAGAGTGCTACCTCACCGAAATATTCTGAAGGCACCCAGCACATGTAGTATTATATCTGGTCAAATTACAATGGCAACGGGTAATCTAGCTGTTGCAGTGATGCTAAGTGATGAACGGTAAGCGAATAATAGTAGCTACAATGTGTATTGACTGTGGTATGTCCCGGCGTAGGGACAGAATTTCCAATGCTAAGACCGAAATTAAGATATCGCAATGTAGGATGTTAAGACCGTTGAAGGTAGTTAGGTAATGAGAAAAAATGCAAAAATCCCACATGGATGCAGCAGCTTTATTTTTCTTCCTTTGTGTACCCCAAAAGAAGACATCCTGATAACTCGCCTTTAACAATATGCAGTGAGTAACGATAAATGTATTCTTTTCTCAATACCCGTCCTGTAGGGATGTTATTATAAGATTGCGTCGACCTATAGTCAACTCGAGAAAAATCTCTATGATAAGGTTATACCAATCTAATTACGCGACATATCAGCAAACGGGAGCGATGAGAAAATCTAATTTAAATCAGATTGAGGTTATACAGTTGTGGAAACGCACAACGTTACACGATGTGCACCGGTGTGCGCATGGAGTGTGCACGATGTTTGCACGATGGGCGAACGATTGAAATCATGAAGATTATTGCTTGCGCACATTTGTGCGGACGATGGACGAACGTCGTGTGATGACAATCGTGGTTGGTGGAAATTGAGAAATGGTTTAACAATAACTACGGCCTCGTGTTTAACAATAAAACTTGCATTTCTATTTTCTAGCTACAGCTACCTGATCTTTCTATTTATATTTTTTGAAATTCAGAAATGGTGTTTTCGGTGGTTTTTAAACGACCCAAAACTGTTAAATAACACATACATGTATTGACACGGTCACGTATACAGGTAAACATAGCCACTTTGTACCTGTTACTGGACCGTAGTTTTCCCCACCCGGGGCACTTACGTAACTCGCCAAGGTGTGAAAATCCATTTGAAGGGATGATATAGACCAAAACGAATGCAAATAACAAATACCTAACGTCCAGTATTATGTTTTCATAACGGTTATACGGTATCACATATCAGCTCTCTTTGTAAGGCACAGGCCAGGTAAAACTCCAACGAATCATCAAAATGTTATTTACCTGTTCTGTTACCTGGGAGCTAAACCCATTCTTGAGTCTAACGGTCACTTTAATGCTGTGTAACACACATTGTAAAAATAAACATAATCCTAATTAATTTGATGAGCAATCAATATGTACAGTGTTCCTTATTCCATACGAGGGCTTCGGATTTTTTTCATTCCGTAATATTGATCAACCAATTATACCAAAATCGCACATTTGTGCGGAGAGAAGCACACAACGGGGCGAACGATTGTTAAATCGCACCATGTGTGGACGATGTGCGATGATGTGTGCACGATGTATTCATGCTATTTTTGGTGCGTTGTTCGGTCCCACAACTGAACGTTTTAAATCTCCTCGAGAAAAATAACAACAATTTTCAACTATCTGAAAGCTGTTGATCGTTAAGAAAATATGAGTCACCATTATGCCACTTTTAATATTCAAGTTGACATTTATTTTTTAACCTTTACGTTTATTTGATTTTGCATTTGATTTTGTCGACCATTTGTTGGCCCTAATGACCTCTCTTGCAGGTCTGGGATCGTGAAAAGAATACACCTGCTGTTACCTACTAAATATAACGTAAGAGGCGACTCTGGGAACATCCTCATGCTAAATTGGAACCAAACTAAATCTACTGCACCCATTGCAATATTTCAGATTATTTCCTTGCTTCTCGATATCAGCATTGAGGGTAATGGCAACAACTGGTTCACCAATTAATCAGTATAATGTGACCGGGCGAATTCCATTGATAGGTACCTTCGGCATGGTAATTCAGTCAGATAGCACTATAAAGTCGGTATATGATGCGCGCTATCACAAGTAGGCGAATATACCAACATACCCTGTCTCCAACACACATACACGCATAACAAATACACACAGAGGCGCATCCTTACATGACCGTAGCTGTTGATAGGACGTAAATCAATATCAAACTAAACTTTCTTATTGACTTTTCCAATTTATTTAGAATTTTTCAAAATGCATTTCCTTGTTGCTAACAAACTTCTAGTTCTTTTATTGTAACACTTGTGCCCTGTGGCTATTATGGACCACTGACATTATAGACACAACAGACCCAGCCAGTGACCCATTAACTGCTGCTGGGGCGTGTTATCAATAAGTGTCGACTATTAATTTAACACCCAGTTTGTAAACCATTTGAGGGGATTAGGTAGTGTTATACACAAGTGCAATTGTATGGTGTCACTAATAAAAAAATACCTACATCAATTCAACAAGTTCGTAACCATGGCGATAACCAAGTCTGTGATACTGTCTACTGTGTAACTGGCTATTGGATACTAATTTGTCTTGTGAAGTTTAGTGGTGCCCTGGACCAGAATACTTGACTGATTATCATATCTTTAGTAATACCATGCACGGATAGGGTTCCCCACACACTGCTTAAACAAAGTATACATACACATTAATTTTCCCCACTCGTATCAGTTAACCCCTTCCATTAATGCACACTCGATTTCTAGGTTTACAATTTGATGAAAATACAATTTCTTCGGTACCTTTTTTGTGTTAGAATGAATTGTTCAGAGAAGCTAAAATATTAGTTTACCCTGGTAGGGCAAAGCCACTGTTTTGAAATAGAACTGTGTCGGAGACTGTCTTTTCCTGACAAAGGGACAGCCGCAATATCTTACCTGTAAGCGCGTACTAATTACCTGTGTATCATTTGGACAGACAATGGGCTGAGTAAATTGACAGGATTAATTGCCTTCACACAGGATGTTCAAGATAAGGTACAGTCCATCAGAATCACATGTGTGACCATGAAATACCATGCCGAATGCACCTAGCAATGCATTTCGCCCGGTCACATTATACTGACCAAGGATGAACCTGTTGTTGCCATTACCCTCAATGCTGATAACGATTAAAACGATATAGCGCAAGAAATAACAACTACCATTTTAAAAGACTTCTGGGTGGTCATTGCCCATATATTCTCAGGTAGATATCATATTAAAAAAATAATGTGTCAGCGGATTTCCTCGTTGCCCTAGCAACCATCTTTAAATCCGGACAAAACTCATTGCCTTCCTCGCAGGGATGACCGTTAAACATTAATGCCAAAAGTGAGGTGTAACCAAGAAAGTCACGATCAATTTTCGTCGATCAAACGTCAACTTTTACAACATGTCGACATGACAAGACACAACTAAATGTGAGCGATTTGGTGAGGTCTGTGAACCTGCAGTGGGATGTAGCAACAGTGACGTTTCGCCTTCTTTCTTTGACAAGGGCCTGTACCGTGTGACGTTGGGAAAATATCACACACAAAAAAAAAAAAAATGATTTAAGGAAAACATCACACACAGAAAGCATGATTTAAGGAAAACATCACACACAGAAAGGATGATTTAAGGAAAACATCTCACACAGAAAGGACGATTTTGAAACAATAATATTACACACAGCAAGCATGAATGAAATTATCAAAATGAAGGAGCAGAATTTAAGTAGGACAGTGAACATATATAAGGCCCCAAAGTTACCTTTTAAAGTGACAATTTAGTGAAGTAAGGTTTTTTATAACCTTTTCACAAAATCCCTTATCATAATATAGTTTGATACTCCTTATGAACAATTCATGTCGAGAAATTGACAAAAAGCAATGTTTTCTTGGCGTTTTTAATCAGTAATGTGGAAATCCTTAACTGTACAGCCGTACGTTTAAGCGGCAGCTGTCGGTGAATTTCTAGCTAACAAAAATGTCTTTCCAGCAAAGGAGAGAACGTAAACCCTCGCTTTATTTTCCTAGCCTCACTGAAATACAAGTACATACATTTATTCTGAATCAAAATCATCCCCCAACAGCAACAAAAACATCGTTATAAATGAGTGATCTATTTTACGTTTTGCCATGTACTGTGTAAATTCAAGAATGCGTTGTATGTAAACTCAGACAGCGACAGTGTGTTGTTGTCGACAGCGTAGTGCTGTATATGTTACCGTTTTCCTGAAAGGCCCGGATATTGCGCTATTTTGGTCGTAGCTATTTTTATCCCTGGCTTTCCCAAAAGATGAAATTGACCATACTAGACGTTGGCTTCAGGTCATGTCATTAACAACTACGAACACTTTCGTTAGGAGATATATATTTTCAGTATCGACTCGATGTTCAGGTTGTCATTTGACTAAATAGCCCCTTTAATCACTAGTAGTGTGGACATTAAATCCCTGGCATACTCTATCTTCTTAGTCTTTG